CCGAGGCTCCAGGCTGGATGCAGAGGCAATGGGCCGTGCGTGGCACCATCCAAACCTCGCTGGCTCTGCCCTCCAGCCCTGCAAACCTGCGAGCTCAGAGCCCCCCAGCCACTTACCCACGTAGTACGGCGTGTAGCACGGAGTGGCCAAGGAGTTGTGCGTGGTAGTTTCTTTAGCAAAGCCAAAGTCCGTGAGTTTTAGCACAGCATTGGGCCTTTTGGAGGTGTACAAGAGGTTTTCCGGCTGTGGAAACACAGGGAAGAAGTGAGCAGAAGAGCCGGAGCAGCCTCAGCATTGCCACAGGCCAAGCAGGGCTCAGCACCGCCGGGCGAGCGTGCAGCATGGTACCTTCACATCCCGGTGCGCAATGTTGATCGAGTGGAGGTACTGGATGGCTTCCCCAATGCTCTTCATTATCTCTGAAGCCTCTGAAGCAGGAAAAAAACAAACAAACAAACAAACAACGTCAGAAGCCTTTAAGCCTATATAAGCAAGTTACAATGAGAGTCACTCCCTGGGTTACTTTACAAACCAGGAGCCAGAGAACCTGGCTGAGGCCAAAGGGGCTTCCTCTACCTGAGGTCCCCCTTTCCAAGCAGGGTTCCCCCCAGCACCCATCCCCAGGTCAGGAGCCTGCAGCAAACGGGAGAGAAACTCTCAGAAGAAGGGATGGGGCAGGCTCCAGCCCCTGACCCCAATACTCAACCACACAAACCCCAGGGAGGGGCTCGCCCTGGGGTGGGGGGGCTGACCCAGCCCCCAGCACAGTTAGGGACCCCAAATCTGCAGGGAAACCAGCTGGGAAAGCTTTCCCTGTAGGATGGGAAGCCAAGGGGGCAATGGGCTCAGGGTTTGGGTTGTGCACTTTTCCTGGCCACAGGAGCAGAGGGGATGAGATTAATGAGATTATGAGAACCACAGCCCCTGGACTCCATTTTCTGAGGGACGTGGGTGCTTCTGCAGGTCACCGAAGCTCCTGCCTGTGCTGCAGTGGGATGGACGGGGCGCAGAGTCAGCTGAGAAAACATCCCCTCACCCTGCTCTCAAGTGAACACGGAAAAGCAGGGCCATTTGCACCCACATTCCTCATTCCCCAAGTGCAAAACCCTGCTGGGGATTCAAAAGAGCGATTGAGGGAACGGGCTGGACCACAGACGCTCCCATAAACCTCAAGACAACAGTCCAAAAACAAAACCCCAGGTCCCCCTGGGCTCTGTACCCCGTTCTGTGAAGGCCTGGTCTCCCCTGTCTTGGATTCGGCTGAAGAGCTCCCCGCCGTCCAAGCTGGAAGAGAAGCAGGCAGCGTTAGATGCTGCGACGTCCGTCTCACGCCGGCGCAAGCGGTACCGAAACCTCTGACGCTCAGCCAGGAGCTGCGCAAGCTCAGCAAGAAACGAACCCCTTCTCCATCCAGGCCCTTGGGTCGGTGCTTCTGGGCACAGGGCGTTTCAGAGCCTCCTCCTTCCAGAAATGAGCAGGGCAGAGGCTTTGTGCTGGCGGCGGAGACGCCGGGTGCAAGCGGACGTGGTCTCCCCACCAGCCCACAAAAACACATTTACAGTAAAGACAGCAAACGTGACTTGAATGTGGCGAGCGTGCTCCTGGTACGCCTGGCCTCGTTTCGCTCACAAGCCAACCACCTCGCTGGCGCGCTCACCCCATGCAGAAGTGCTGAGCAAAGACCGTGGCACGGGCGAAGTGTCAGCGGCACCGAGATGGGCTCGCTGATGGCACGGGGGAGGCAGAGCCTGAACCCCACCGCAGCAGAGCAAGCTCTCACGTGAGGTGTTGGAGAAGGACCATGGAAACCCTGGCGTGGTTCCCTCCCCAGCCAAAGGCTCTCCACGTACCCTAAGGAAAAAAAAACTCAGCTCCCAGAGAGATCAGGAGCAAGATCAGGGATAATTCTCCATGAGAACAGGGATAACGGCGCTTCCTGTCCCTGCCTTATCTAACTTGAGCACAAACGGCTTCTGCCTTTCCCAGCACAGATAGCATCTCCTGCCAGCGCCCTTGACATTTGCTGGACATCTGCAATACAGATAGCGTGCAGCCACCGGGGCCAACCGCAGCACGGAGCGCACGAGGAGATTCGGCGTGCTCACACCAAAAGTCAGACACTGCCTCGTGACGGGCGTTACACCCAGAGCATCCCTCGGACAGCGGGGAGCTATTGCAGAGACACGCTGCGGGGAGCTGTCACTGTCCCGGGGACTTGTTTCCTACCATTCAGCTACTGCTTTCTTCCCACACAAGCAGATGCGTCGCACAAACCTTTCCCATCCTGGGCTGCCCAGCATCCCAGCACGGTTCTCAGAAGCCTCTTCCCACACAAGAGCCGCTCGGGCAGCTGCGATGCCGCCTGCCCCGGCGCTGCTCACGGTGCTCCTCACGCCCGCTGCCCCCCCAGGCGACCTACCGGCTTGCCAGAGGAGAGGTTTTGGCAAGGAAGCTGCATCAAATCACAGCTGCGGTTGGGATGTGGTTTCAATACTTTCCCCTTCATTCCTCCTCCTCCCCAGGTTATATCAAACATCTACCCGAATCAGAGCCGCCCAAGTGCTGCTGCAAGAGGTGCAACGGCGTTAGCAGATGTGTCAGCTCGGC